GTTGAGGACGAGGGTGAGTTCCGTCAGCACGACGGCGTGACGACGGTGATGATGATGCTACCGGCGCAGGGCTTCACCTAAGCACTACGATGGTATGATCGAGGTGTGTAACTGTGGACGGGGGCACCACACACGGTTAAGAGAAACTTGTGTGTCTTTGGGGTGTCCCCTGCCCACGTATATAAAGGAGGGAGGGAGAGAGGCCGACCTTTCTGATGTCCGGATATAGCCTTCCAATATATCGATCTTTATGTCTCGATCATTTTGAGACTCCTTCTCACGTCCGTGATCTCATCCAGGGCTCCGAACAAACTTCGGTCATCAAAACACATAACTCATAATACAAATCGTCATCGAACGTTAAGCGTGCGGACCCTACGGGTTCGAGAACTATGTAGGCATGATCGAGACACATCTCCGATCAATAACCAATAACGGAACCTGGATGCTCATATTGGCTCCTACATATTCTACGAAGATATTTATCGGTCAAACCGCATAACAACATACGTTGTTCCCTTTGTCATCGGTATGTTACTTGCCCGAGATTTGATCGTCGGTATCATCATACCAAGTTCAATCTCATTACCGGCAAGTCTCTTTACTCGTTCCGTAATACTTCATCCTGTAACTAACTCATTAGTCCCAATGTTTGCAAGGCTTATAGTGATGAGTATTACCGAGAGGGCCTAGAGATACCTCTCCGAAACACGGAGTGACAAATCCTAATCTCGATCTATGCCAACCCAACAAACACCTTCGGAAACACCTGTAGAGCATCTTTGTAATCACCCATTTACGTTGTGACGTTTGATAGCACACAAGGTGTTCCTTCGGTATTCGGGAGTTGCATAATCTCATAGTCTGAGGAATATGTATAAGTCATGAAGAAAGCAGTAGCAATGAAACTGAAACGATCATAATGCTAAGCTAACGGATGGGTCATGTCCATCACATCATTCTCCTAATGATGTGATCGCTTTCATCAAATGACAACACATGTCTATGGTTAGGAAACATAACCATCTTTGATTAACGAGCTAGTCAAGTAGAGGCATACTAGGAACAATATGTTTTGTCTATGTATTCACACATGTACTAAGTTTCCGGTTAATACAATTCTAGCATGAATAATAAACATTTATCATGAAATAAGGAAATAAATAATAACTTTATTGTTGCATCTAGGGCATATTTCCTTCAGGTACAACCATGGCCTGCCAACTTCTTCTTCTCCATCTCCTCTTTGAGATCACTTAGAGCCACCCTAGAGCATTGCCCAACTGTGTGATAGCCTCCTCCTTGTCAGCAACCATTCTAGCAAAGTCCAATTTGAAAATTTTCAGCTCTTCCTCCATCTTCCTCTTTTCTCCAACTACTTTGAAATTTTGTTCAACATAATGAACATTATCTCTCAGCTTGTCCTCGTTTTCTTTCTCATACATGCTCCACAATTCAGTTAAGCAGAACTTCATAGCCTCTGACCACTCAGGGTCTATTCACTCCAGATAGTTGCATTTTAGTTCAGCCTACAATTAAATAAATATGTTCGCAATAAGAAATTGAATGAAATGTGCACAAATTATATAATATTGTATGAAATTGTGGGCACAGGCTAATTAGCTACATTAGCTTATATTATATGCATAAATTGTGGGATGAAACAAATATTAGATCATAATTAATAAAGATATTCTCAATAAGAAATTGTATGCATAGATTCTGGGCAGAAAAAATTATAACAGCATATATAAATAATATTTTCCTCAATCAGATTGTATATGTATAAATTGTGGGCGAGCACAAAGATTTATTACACCGACTAAAGCAAGAGAAGATTGGAGTACTGAAGCAAATCATATTTGAGCAACTATCCAGGAACAAATCTTTCATACACAAAATTGGAGTATTGACAAGTGAATGGAGCATAAGCTAACTAAGCAAATCTATTTACACTACTAAGCAACACACCTTCTCCTCAGCACACGCTAGAAAATGTCTGCCAGTGTCCAAGGATTCAAATGCAACTAGCCTGGCGCAAGGTCCTCGATGCAGACAACGAGAAGACAGATCGTGAGCAATGCCACTCCATTCATAGCAAGGAATAGTCCTAGGAAGCTAACCAGCACACAAATTGCACAAATGAGCGACCTGATAAAAAATCCCCAAATGATGAACCCTAACCCTAACCCTCGATGGGGGAGGCAAACACGCATACCTGGCTAGTAACTTATTCGCCGTTCGAAGAAGAGCTGGACTGGTCGGTCCAAGAAACCATGGCGGAGCGGCGAATGGCGGCGACTCGACAGTGGCGCCGCCGGCGGTGGTCGCAGTCGAGAGAGAATAGAGCGAGAGGGGTGAACTGGTCTAGTCTGGTCCGAACAGTGACTGGTGCGGGCCACTCATACACGGGGCAGGAACGGCCGTCTGTCGCCGTCTAACGGCGTTCGTCAACCAAGACAGACGGGACCCACCTGTTGGATTCGCTATTTTCCGAGCTAAAACCAGCATCAGTGCTTCGCGTTACAGATTAACCCCATTGTTGGTGGTTTTTTGTGTCCTACCTCAAATATAGTACAGATTTGTTACCCTAACCTCAAGTGTGATGGTTTTTGGTAAATAACTCCTCCGTAAAATGCTCGTGGCCTGCCAATGAAACGGGAGAGTATACATGGCCATACCTCGGGTCGGGCCTAGCCAAGCCCGACGCAAAAAACTCAGGCCCGAGCCGGTCATAGGGCCTATTTTCTGGGCCCAAGCCCGGCCTGAACACGTAAAAGCCCGTTGGGCTTCGAGCCGGCCCGGCCCGCCTTTAAGGAAAACACAAAAATGACGGGCCCGGCCCAGCCCGGCCTTCAGGCTTAAAATCTAGGCCCGGGAGCAGCGTCGGGTCATGCCGGGTCGGGCTTTTTCGGGCCGGGCCGTTCGGGCCGGGCTGCCCATGGCCACGACTACGGGAGAGTCTTAGATAGCCAGGCAGTGGCATCTTCCTCCGCATCTCAGTTCCACCCGGCACATACTCGCCCATGTCAACGCGCACGGCCGTTTCTTTGACGAAAAAGGGTTTCCCCCGCTTTATATTATAAAGCACAACCACAACCACAACAATGAGCATCCGATACAAACACACGCCACACTGACCCAAGGCAAGATACATGAGTGCCGGGCACCGACACGCAACCTCAACGACACAAAGCATCTAAAAGATAAGCAAAAAAAGGTCCGCTAAGAGTCGACCGAGACCACCACCAAGGAGCGATCGTCCGGGAGGATGCGCGCCGGACACGCCGGACCGAGGACTCCAAGACGGTGCCTCCAGGAAGGGCACGACGAAGAACGCCGCCACCGTCTGATCCGAAGATCAAGTTTTCACCCGGAGTAAGATGGAGGGAGAAGAAGCACCACGACGGAGCCTGCAAGGAGGAACACGACGTCCACGGACGCCGTCACCGTCGACCAGAACGGGACTGGGTAGGTGATGAACCCCGGTGCTTCAGCTCCTCCACCGCCACCCCGGTCCACCAACGCCCACAACCATGCCGCCCGAGCGGCCATGGTTACCTGCCCGCATTCGAGTCGTGCGATCCACCCACAACCAACGCGACTCCCACCGCCAGGGCCGCCACCCCGCCATGAGACCTCCCCGAGGCCCCCAAAGGCCACGCCTTTGTCAAGATCCACAACCCCGACCACCTCCAGAACCGCCGCCGGCCAAGCTGCCTCGAGAAGGGCCGCGACCACATCGATCGGGGGAAGGGGAAGACGGAGAAGTGGCACATGGCCACGACCGACACCCGTGTCGGCTCCAACTTCCCCCCGAAACCGAGTTTCGCCCCCGCTTCGAAGGCCCGGAGCATCAGGAGGCATCAGCCGTCGCCAGAAGCCAGAGAGGGAGGGTTGCGGAGCCGTCGCCGTCGCCGCCTGAAGACGCCACCAGGGGATCCACCCGAGCCGAGCGCCACCACCCAGCTGCGAGGGCCCGACTAGGTGGGAG